ACTGAATACATGCTTTTGAGCTGCTAGGTTGGCAGAAGCTGGGACAAGTAATGGGAGCTCACTCGGTTACGTGGCGCTAGGGATTCGAACCACCGAACTGCCGTCCTTTCTGATCGACCAGCTCAGCATCTTAGCCACTGAGCCACCGCATCCCGTCAGGATATGTATTCAGTACAATTAATAGAATTTGCTTCCAAGTAAAATGTGGTAAATCAGATTCATCATGTTGACTAGAAGTGACTTGTATTAAATATTCATGGCACTCGGGAGGGCCGCATGGAGTTTTCCCAAGCTCTGTTTTTGCTGACAGAAGCACCGCGGGCTGGTCCTTCGCTGTTTCCAGGGTGGTCCTGCGGGCCAGATCTAAGCACCCCCAGGGGTCGGATATTCCCCCCTCCCAAACCTTGAATTTGACACCCCTGATCTAGAAGTTAGGTTTACGGAGTTTGGCTTAGAAACGGGTTTATTTCCAAACCATTTTATCCAGGAGAATTTGCAAAGCAAAACATGCCCCAACATTTCGGTAGGTGGTTGTGGTTCAGCCTGGTGTGGCACTCCACAAAACCAGCCAGCCAATAATACCCCAACGCCCAAGAGGGAGGGACACGGGGGAAGAAAGGGAGTTCTTCTGGAGAACTTCCAAAGCTTCATTCTGTGGAGGTGCCAATTTTGCCCACGAGTAACAACTTTTGCACGCTGAGCCAGTTCCAGATATAACGGAGGGGTTTTTTCTTTAGACTGGCTTAAGACTAAACACCCGCTGGCATCCCTTGATCATCGGAGAGAACAAAATTGTTCTTGTGTGTGTCCGACCCATTGTTGACGAGGTCTTTTCCATGGTGCATCCCCCTCCCCCTCGCACTGTGATGCTCTGTGATTCTGAACAGATGCGCTGGCACTCGAGGGGAGGGGAACACACACAGTTGGGGGCTTGGCACAGAGATGGCACCGCTTGACAGCTAGTGGTGCCGCCCTGCTTATTATCCACAGGAAGCCCCTTTCTTTTGAGATGCTGGCTTGAGCTGAAAAGGAGGTTTCGGGAGAGGAGAAAAACACTGCGGACAAGATCAGGGTACTTCATTTTTTTAAAAAAACCACGATATTGCATTAGTAAATATCTGTGTAGATTCTCAAGACATCGAAACCCAAATACAATAGCAGAGTTGGAAGGGACTTTGGAGGTCTTCTAGTCCAGCCCCTTGCTCAACAGGAAACCCTACACCAGTGGTGGGTTTCAATTTTTTTTAGAACCTCTTCTGTAGGTGTGGTCTGCTTTGTGGGAGTGGCTTGCCGGCCATGTGACCGGGTGGGAGTGGTTTGTCAGCCATGTGACCGGGTGGGAGGGCTTGCCAGCCATGTGACTGGGTGGGCATGGCCAACTGGTAAAATGTGGTGAAACTCACTTAACAAC